CACTTAATGGAGAGCATTTGAAACTTTTTTCCCCTCTAACTTTTCAAATTTAATACACAGGAAATTGCATATTCCTATGTAAATGTTTAGTAAAATACCATTTCCTATGTCTTAAATTTAAAAAGCATATTTAACAAATATACATATGACTTTAGATTGTTAAACTAGTATATTGATGATGAAGACAATACCTGTATTATGGCAACTAGTGGTGGGATTCAAAAAAATTTACTACCAGTTCTGTGGGCGTGGCTTGGTGGGCATGGTATGGCTTGGTGGGCATGGCTTGGTGGGCATGGCAGGAGAAGGATACTGCAAAATTTCCATTCCCTCCTCACCCCACTAACCTGCTTTCCAGCTCCGTTCTCCTGTGCAGGGCAACAAAAGAAGACCCAGCCAATCAGCTGGGACTTGGGAAGCAAAGAATAGATAGGGGTGAGGCCAGTCAGAGGTGGTATTTGCTGGTTCTCTGAACTACTCAAAATTTCCGCTACCAGTTCTCCAGAACTGGTCAGAACCTGCTGAATACCACCTCTGGATTAAACTAATGTCTAAACTGAATTTTCAAAAAAATAATAATCAAATAATAGTGAACAAACTATTCAAAAGGTAAAAGAATATGGTTGGTATCAAGAAATTAACAGTCTTTGATGGAATGTAAGCGTGAAAAATGCAGTTTGGGGCCCATCAATACAGCATCTAAAATTATCTCCAGTTTTGTTAATATAAAGACCATCTATTTTATTTGGCTTTGGCTTTCATTCTGCCAAGGGATTAGTGGTGAGATTCAAAAACTTTTACTACCGGTTCTGTGGGCATGGCTTGGTGGTCTTGGCAGGGAAGGGAGACTGTAAAATCTCCAGCCAAACTTCCAGTTTGTCGGCTTTGCTAGCGGCAGGGATTTGCGATCCTGCGCGATCCCTGCCGCGCTAGCCGTTTTGGTGCCTCTGATCCATAGATCTGGAGGCTAAGGTTGCTACGAAGAAGCAGCCGAAGATAAGGAGGAGCTGGTCAGGGGTTTGGGGGTGTTGCAGACCCCCTTCCCAGCCGGCAAAACCCCCCTTTCCCAAGACGGTCGAGCGGCGGTCTGTAATGGCCGCCTCAAAGAAGCCGGCAGCTGGGTAAGACTGAGCAGGAGGAAGAGAGGAGAAAGTGGTAAAGAGAAAGTTTTTGTGGCTGACCCAGGACTTTAAGAGGCATTTAATCCTGAGAACGATGGTTTTCTGAAAAATACTTTGTTTCCAGAGGAGGATCTCAAGCGGCAAAACTGAGTGCTGAAAGGGAAAGTTTACTCTCCTTCCTTATGGAATCAACAAATGGCCATTGAGAAACCTGTTGTTGTTTCTTTTATAAAAGGTAAAGACTTGGCTTCTTGTTATAAGTGGGAAGGAAGAGGACAAAATATATATATTAAGATTTTGTTGGAGGAGATGCCTTGAAGATCTTGAGACCAGAAATTAATTGCAACAAGGTTTTAAAATACAGATTGGAGGTTTTTTCCTTTCCCTTTGATACCTTACCAGGAAGAGAAAGTGAGAACTTTGTGTTTTGTTTGGACTGATTGACTCTCCCTGGAATTTTGGGGAATTGCTCTAACTTTTGAAACACTTTGGTTGCTTTAAGAAGAAGAATAAAGAATGGCTTTATCTGCTGATGAACTTAGAGAATATGAAGAAAGAAAGGACGCTGTGAAAAAAGCCTTTCTCTCTCTAGAAATGGCGTTTGTTAATTAACAAATACAACAACAGATGGAGGAAATGGAAGGAGAAGAAGGAGAAGGAGAAGAAGACGCCATCTTCAATGAATTTAAAAATTTAGTTAAGAGAGAAAGGAGAAAGAAAGGAAGGAAAATGAAGGACTTAAGATCTAAAAAAATACTTAAGAAAGGAAAAAATAAGATGCAAAACCAATTCAATGTTAATGTTACTGAGCAAAAGGAGAAAGGAATACAACAGAGAGGGGAAGTTGGAGGTAAAAAGGTTAGGTGGGATAGGAAAGGAAGGGAAAAGGGAGGGAAAAGCCACAAAGGTATAAAACAAGATGGGAAAAAAGGAATTTTTTTTAGGGATAAAGGGTAATGTATAATTTCTTTAAAAAAGAAGATTCTGCAAGGTACATAAGATGGTATGGTAGTATTTGTATTAGAAATAGAAAATTAGAATGTTATAAGAATCTGAAATGTTTAGTAATGATAGATTTTAAAATTTAATAAAAGATTAAAAGGAATGTTTAAAATATTGAGTTTAATTGAAAAGACTAATTTACTGTTGTTTTGATCTTATTATAAATTCATTACTGTAGCATTTGTTTCTTGAAATAGACAATTGGAAGGCTATAAGATTTAAAATTTAGATTTATTATTTAATTATATTAATTATTGTGGACTTACTATTTTTTTTTCTTTAGAGACTAGTAGGTTGAATGTACTAAGCAGAATCAGATTGGGTATTAGGTGTTATTTTAAATATTAATTTAGGGGGAGGATAGAAAGGCATCATACCTTGATCAGGGATTTCAGGGGAAAATATTTTTTCTTTACTTGCTGTAGGGAATGAGATAAATGGATAATTTGGAAAGAATGGACAAAAAATATAAATATAATGAATTAAATTAAAATGAATTGAATAAAATAGAAATAAGAAGAGTGAAAAGTGGGGAGAAGTTATATGGAAGATATAGAATGGTAAATAAGATAGGTAATGGCATATAAGATGAGCACGAATTTAATTGAAGTCCATACAAAGAGAGGCAATCTGGGGCCAAACTACTTTCTTAAAGGAAGTTTTATATTTTTGTGTTTTGTGTGTCTATGTTTTCTTTGAGAATTAATAAAACCTCGGAGGAATGTTGGATGAGAATAATGTTAAACAAGACAGAGAGGAATGAAGATGATGGTTATAAACTGGATAAATATAGAAAATTAATAATAATTAATGAAATTGAATAAGAAAAAAGAAATAATGAGAAATTTGTTGAGAGATATCTATATGGTTATATTGAAATGGTGAAAAATAGAATTATGTTGTATAAAATAGTATTCTATCTGACTTGTAAAATTAATAATGGAGAGGTTTGTGTACTTAATGGATAACGATGGTTTGTTTGTCTTTAAAATTAATAAAATTTGTTTCAAAAAAAAAAAAAATCTCCAGCCAGAGGTGGTATTTGCCGGTTCTCTGAACTACTCAAAATTTCCGCTACCAGTTCTCCAGAACTGGTCAGAACTTTCTGAATACCACTTCTGCAAGGGACCCACATGCTTCACCTTAATCTATTGTACCTCTGTATGGTTTGCCAATTGCACAGTGGCAGATAGAAAAGCACTCCAGAGGGTTAACGTCATTGCCCAGAAGATCATTGGTTGCCCTCTCCCCTCTTTGGAAGAGCTTTATAGCTCCCGCTGCCTTAAGAAAGTTCAAAACATTCTCAAAGATCCATCTCATCCTGGGAACCCTTTTTTTGAACTATTACCATCTGCCAGATGGTACAGAACAATAAAAACAAGAACAAATAGGCTGAAAAACAGCTTCTATCCCAGAGCAGTAGCTCTTTTGAATTCTACCGTATAGTGCAGTGTTGATGTGTCGGGTTTTTTTGGTTCAATGTTTGTTGTGGTTAGCCGGCAGCAGGTGTGGATGGCTGAGGAGAATGAGGACTCAGATGAGGGGCCAGGACCATTAGTGAGTGGACTGCTGTCTTCAGAGATTGTGGGGGCTGGCAGCAGCGATGAGGAGTAAGGCTGCAAGGTAATGGCCCCTCCTTCAAGAAGATAAAAGCCAGCTGTGAAGTGAATGTTCTTTGCAGGAAGCAAAGATGTTTTGAAACTCAGCCTCGTGGACATTACAGTATCTTAAGTTGGTATTTGAAGACTCTTGTGCTGTGAAATATTTCTTATCTGTGATTCTTGGCAGTCTTGTACAGTTTTGGCAAGGTTTGTGCTTATCAAAGTTAATTAATTTGCAGCAGCCTTTTAACCGGGGATTCGTAAGACTCATTAAAAGGTTTCTGTTCCTTTTGGTTATTGTTTGTCTTATTGGAAAAGGGTTTGGGTCAGAACAATGTGTGGAGTGTAAAGGATGTGTGTTTGTGTTTATTTTCATGGTCATGATGTGCACTGAAGATGGTGTTTGATTTCGTTGTGCTAGGTGCAATGACAATAAAATAAACTAACTAAAGTAAACTAACTTAGAATGGAAAAAGATTTTCTATTCCAAATATTTTGGACCAAACCATTTTCTAATACCTACTATCCCATGAAAAGCTGGTGCAACAGGTTCCCAGAATTTTTGCACTCCTGAAGTTAACTCACATTTAAGATCTACGGATTTTGTGTCAAGAGATACAATTTTAACAGTTGTTTTTAAGTGCCATTCACTGCAATCTCATAAACAGATATTAGGGGTAATGAGCAAGTGCTATGTTCTACCATGTGCTACTTGCTGAGTGACCTTATTCCTTGTTTCTCACACCATGAGAAATCTAGGGCACATCTGACCTGAGCAGCAGCAGCATCTAAATTATTCCAGAAAGAAAATGATTCTTTTTTTTCATTCAGACTTCCTTTACATGTTAGAATGACCCACATGAGATATGGAAAAATTCAGAAAATCCAAAAGGGGGCAAATATTTTTTTCACTGTACAGTTGACTGAAAATTAAAGGGTGGCGAAGAGATAAATATTAAAGAGAGATGCACATTGTTACTCTTTGACCCTCCTGTAATATATTAGTTATTTTTGCTTGTTACCCACTATGTTTAAATATTAATTTGGTGTGAAACCTCACCTATTCTGAAAATAAATGATTGATTCACAATGAATAAATGTATTTGTACTAGGGAAATATTGTGACTCAGCAACTCAGCTCTAAACCTTAGCAACTGCCAAATTCCAGCATTATCATCTTCTTTATTGCCCCTAGTCCTTTATAATAAGATACTGAAGAAGGCTAGTTTCAATATAGTGCATGAGGAGCCTGGACAAGCATTTCTCCCTCTTCAAAATGCAGGAGGACCATTTAAGGGAATCTGATATTTTAACCTCTGCATTTCCAACAACACAATCAACTTGGAATTTTTCACACTGTTCTGAAAATGCCACCATCTGCAAAGGGACATCCTGCTTAAAGCCGACAGATGATTTCAACAAAGTTTTGAGTGTAATCTTAAGTACCGTCCTAACAGTTATGCTGGCATTGGTGATGTTCTCCATGGGCTGCAATGTGGAACTGAAGAAATTTTTAGGACACATAAGAAGGCCTTGGGGTATCATCGTTGGTATCCTTTGCCAGTTTGGAATCATGCCTCTCTTGGGTTTTACCCTGGCATTTGCTTTTAATGTGCTTCCAATTCAAGCTGTTGCAGTGATCATCATGGGATGTTGTCCAGGTGGAACATCTTCTAACATTTTAGCTTACTGGTTGGATGGTGACATGGACCTGAGGTAAGAGTGATTTACTTTTGTTAGAGTTTAAATTTGTATCACCTTTTTTAAAAATAAACTTTAAAACTTTGTGCATGTTTATTTGTGAGAGAACCCACTGAAATCAATAGAAGTTATAATTTAACAAACATAATGCAGTGTATCTCTTAATAAAACTTTGTACTTAAAAATATTGCCCTGCACCTTCCACCTTATTAGAAAACACTCTTAACAGAATGGCTTGAACACAACTGCATTTGCACTTTAAATCTTGGCAGAAGTGCATCTTGACGTATTTATCTGCTACCATCAATCTCTTCAAAATAAATATAGAAAGAGAGAGAGGACACCAAATCAAAGTGTTCAGGTGCTTTCATTGGGAATAGCAGAAATACAGTGAATTCCAACTGGAGAAAATGAATTTCTCTGTCCTCAGTATAAAATACAGAGCAATGAATTAGATTAAAGTGAAAAATAAGTGTAAGTAGGGCAAAGTTGGAAGCGTAAAAGAGAAGTTTTCAAGTCAGATTTGCTGATCATTGAGACCACCAGCCATAAGAAAGAAGTGGCAAAAAAAAAGGGGGTAAGTAGAAATTGAAGGGTGGAAGAATTCCAAAATTCAGAGAAGGAACAATTTTGGGTATTCTTTGAAAGTGTTAGGCACCATTAAATTTGGGGAGAATAAAACAAAACAAAAGCACCACTGGAACAAAGAGGAGAAAGAAGATCAAGAGAATAAAAGATTTATATATTTCAGTTCTAGTTTTTACATATTTTGATCAACGGTTTTGAAAAGTTGGCAGGTACTTTCCTGAATTTGATGCATGACTCATTCTGGGTTGTGGCCTTTTTGTTTCTTCATTTTTCTTTTAGTCATTAAGATAGCTAGCTAGGACGTGAAAGGTAACAGAATTACTCTTATTACACAGATGAAAGGAATGCAGTCCAAAGTCAGATCCTGCTTGCTGCTATCAATATATGTATGTGATCTGATTCAGCGCAATGGTGGATATATTCAGAATCTTAAACCAGCCCAAGCACAAGTAAAACTTGGCAGAATATAACATCTGATTTTTTTTTCCTCACCAGTGCCAAACTATTAAATTGCTTTTGAAAGCTCAGCTCAGAGGAGCCAGTTCAGAAATATATATTCGTTCCATTCTATTCACAGGGGACCTGCAATATTTATCAGATTGCATGTGTGTAAGGTTCTATATTGGGATGCATATGGATTGGCATATGGAAAATGCCTGCAAGAACAGACTGGCTAATAGAGTATTCTTCTCTGCATTAAATCACAGGAATTTTGCACTACGCATGTTGCTATTGACAACAATATTATGTTCCAAAATAAACTGAGAATAGATATTGTGAGGGGTCCTTGATGCTCTCTGAACTTGGTTGTTTTCTTGCACACATTTCATTACCCAAGCTATGTAACATCATCAGTGTTAGTGCTAATAGGTATTATTTTAAAATGCAAACATTTTTGAATTTTTAAAAGGCTATCATCCATAAATGCTAACCATACTTATATATTAATCATGTCCCACTTTGTTTTTGATAGAAGCAATTGGGATTTTGTCTAGATGCTCTTAAAACAGTTTTCTGTACTTAATTAGCTAAATTAAACTAATACCCACACAAATAGGTTTGCTGCTTTCAATGAATTATTGTCCATATTTATTTAGCTATAAAGCCTATTGTACTCGCTGGGATTTATTTCCAAGTAAGTTTAAGACTGAGTCAAGGGTTACATACAGTAAATAAGTAATATTTCCCATAGTAACAAATTCCTGGCTTAACTGTTTAACAGAATCAGAATCAGAATCAAATTTGTGTCTAAATTTTTCATTCCCTCCCAAATTGCAATTAATTATTGTTTGTGATCCCTAATGGAACAAACCAAAGAGTAATAGAAGCTGTTTATTTTTAGTCCCTCTTCTCCATTAATATTATAAATACAATTATTGGGATATTATACTACAATGAGCAAAATGAGCTTTATTAATGCAATTCTTATATTTGAAAATAAATAAGTAGGGTTCAGCAAGGCTTATTTACATACAAATTCAACTTGTCGATACTATCTTAGGTATGTATATTCAGGCATGATTTCCATTATTTTCCAATAAATGGGTAATCTTTAAGCTTCAGCTCATGATTTCTCAATTTTTAATTTATTTCCATTGTCATTATCCTTGGAGTCCCTGTTTCTATATTTAACTTCCTATATTTAAGAATCCTTCCAGACTATCAATTCCTAACCCTAATACTTAAAATATTTTTTGACATTCAACAGTTCATTTGTCTTTTCTCATTATCAAATGTTGTCTTTGTGCATTCTCTCTCTCTCTCTCTCCTTCTCTCTCCCTCTCTCTCTCTCTCAGGTTAGGGTTAGTGCAACAGGCAAGGTTTCAAACTCTTTCTAAAGTCCAACAGGAGCCAACTGAACATCACAGGAAAAAAAATCACTTGAGGATTTCCTTACGATATGCCTGTTACTTTTACAAAACTGCTATTTGTAGGCATTATATTATTTACAGGTGGTCCTTGAGTTATGGCTGTAATGGAGCCTGCCCATTATGGTTGTAAATTGTAAAACTACTAAATTTTACTTCTTCTTTTTTTTGGCAGTCATTAAGTAAACACTGCATTTACATCTCCTATGAATACCACAGTCGCCACAGTTGTTAAGCGATTTCTGTGGATGTTAAGCCAACCTATTGTTCATTGTGGTGCAGTTTTCCCTCAAAGTGCCACTTTTCAGCAAAACCATCATAAAACATGATCAGTGACTGTGAGATGCTGCAAATGGATGTGAATGTGTGTTCTGACCCAACTCTGGTTCCAAGAGAGCAAACACAAGACAAAGGCAGCAGCACAACCTTTTAATGTTTCATCTATGAATTCTGTTTCTTCACAGATAAAAGGCTGCTTCCAACTAATTAGCTCCGACAAGAAAGAGCCTTGCCAAGTTTTTGCAAGGCTGCCAAAAAACAATAGATAAGAAATAGATTACAACACAAGAATCTTCAAATACCAACTGTAATGTCCACGAGGCTGAGTTTCAAAACGTCTTTGCTTCCTACAAAGAATGTTTGCTTCACAGCTGGCTTTTATCTTCTTGAAGAAGGGGCCATTACCTTGCAGCCTTACTCCTGAGTTGCCCGTGCTGTTGTAGCTGCTCTTTCCTGAAAGCAATCCTGTGCGCACGCGCATTTAGCACAGGCTCCTCAAGAACCTCCTCATCGCTGCTGCCAGCCCCCACAATCTCTGAAGGCAGGGTCCTGGCCACTCATCTGAGTCCTCACCCTCCTCAGCTGTCCACACCTGCTGCCAGCTAACCACAACTATGTGGTTCTATTGCCAAAATTCCAAAGTGTGGTCATCAGACTTGTGGGGGAGGGCACAGCTAACTGTCGGGGCTTCAGAGTCAAATCATTGCCCTCCTTTTTCAAGTAGGTCATAACTTGAACCATTGCTAAGTGACTAGTAAGTCAAGGACTACCTGTATTGATGACAAGGCAAAAATCATTCTTACAGTTATATCTGGAACAGAGAAATAAGTACATGTTTGTGAGATACCACAATTTAGCATCCATAAAATATTAGAAGCTAACATGATAACAACAGTAACGATGACTGGTTCTTTTTCAGCATCAGTATGACAACATGTTCAACCCTGCTGGCCATGGGAATGATGCCACTTTGTATCTTTGTCTACACCAGGATTTGGACAGATTTCGACTCCATTTACATCCCCTATGACAGCATTGGTAAGCTCTTTTCCTCTCACAACCATTCCAAGATCCATTTTTTACAACTGAAGTCTGCAATAGAAAATCACTCATAACTTCCATGGTTTTATACTTGGGGTTAATTAGTCTGAAGCTTTAGGACTTATCTCAAAACAGATGCTTGGCATCTTTTTACACAACTGACAGGATCAGGGATGGCATAAAGCTGAGACTAACTCCCCACAGTAAGACACTTGGTTGCCAGAGAGAGACACATGATGCATTTTCAACAGTGACATATAAGCCCAGTTGGGAGTTGAAATAACTAATATTGTTCATGCCTCCTTGTCAGTGCAAATCTATGATATTGTAATTATACTTACAATTGTTGACAAGGATTAACATCGTAAAATTAAGGCATATTAAAAAATATGGATGTTAGGGAAAGACTGAAGGCGAAAGGAGAAGGGGACGACAGAGGATGAGATGGTTAGATAGTGTCATCCATGCAATGAGCATGAGTTTGGGCAAACTCCAGAAGACAAGGGAAGACAAGGAGGCCTGCCGGGCTATGATCCATGGGGTTGTGAAGAATCAGACATGACTTAGTAATTGAACAACAAAAATACCCTCTGAAAGTGATGGCACAAACATCTTTGTAAAATGTGTCTTGATGATGTTCATCCATTGTGTTTGAAGAGACCTTGACATCTAATGGGTTGTGGGCTGTCCACAGTATGGACAGGTGTCTGCAGGTGGCTGGTAAGACCTATATGGGCACAGAATGTTCTGCCATATGTCAGGCACCATTGTTGTGTCTTACTTACACATCAAAATGTGTCTTACTTTCAAATGAAATATAAGACTTATGGTGTCCTCCCTTTAAAAGAATGTTAAGATTTGACTGCACCAAGATAAGTTCAGACAGCAAATTCTGCAGTTTAAACTGCTCTATTATTTTGTGTTAACTGGAGAAACATGGAAATGCCTGTGTTCCAAGTACCTTCTCGAAGACCATGCAAACCCAATCAATTAAAAAGAACAGAAAAACCAAAAAGTGAACAATGATGATAATTTAATGCATACATTTCTACTGTTATAATGGACATAACTGTATTGCATTACATGAGTAAATTGTGGAAAATGCCTGTTATGAGATGATGGTCCAATTGGTAACCAAAGGAATTGTGCAGTAATGACTGCAATGACAAGATCCTCAGACCACCTCAATTTTTTAGTAATACAAAATCCAAATAAACTACCAACACATTCGGAACTATTAATAGGAATCCCTAATCTTTTGGTTTACCCATTCATAAAAAAACAAGTTTGGAAAACATAATCACTTATAAAACAAACATTTTTCAGAATGCTACAGTACTTGTGATCTTCTTTATCCCTATTCTCACAAAATACATACATATATATACAGTATATTTCTGCCACTTATAGTTTTTGTATCAATTATGAAGTTAGTGTCCATGTTTCACCAGCATATGTTAGAACAGGTAGCACATACTGATCAAAAACTTTTCTCTTCAAACATAGGGGGAAGTTGTTCTTGAAAACCACACTTAGTAGGCTGATTACCTGCCAACCACATTTAACACACCATTCAATTTCCTTTATTGTATCATCTTCCTTTGAGATCCATTGGCCAAGGTATATGTACTGGTCTACTAGGTCTAGTTCTTCTCCACATATAAAAAATGAATGGGCTGGTCACATAGCAAGAAGAACTGATGGCAGGTGAACTAAAGCAATCATAGAATGGATCCCACTTGATAAAAAGTGTCCACAAAAGAGACCTAAAACAAGATGGGTTGACAACATCAACAAGTATTGTGGGCACAATTGGAAAAAGCTCAGGAAAGCTCAGGTTGGAAACATGTGGAACAGGCCTCCATCCTGCAGTGGATAGACAATAGCTAAAATGATGAATGATGATATATACATACATATGTACTTACAGTACATACATGCATACATACATACATACATACATATATACGTTTGTTTGCTATTTTTCAAGGTTGGTGGCTAATCAAAACCTTGGTCTGCAGGTACTCATCATTAGTAGACAACAGAGATTTTTGAAAATTCAAATAAGCAATATTGCACTGTGCATATAGTATAACATTTCTGACATTGACTGGCAGTCTCTCCATTCACTCTAGTTTTGGAGATGGTAGAATTTTAACTTTTTGTCTGCAGTTGTCACCTAATTCTGCCCAAATAGCAAAATGACCTCAATTATAAGGTTAAATCACAACTTAGTTTTAAAACTCATATTCCTGTTGTCTGGAAATTGGCCAAGGATTTATGCCTCCTGCTAAATATAAAAACTACAGCATTTGTGAGTTTGCTATGTTTGTCCACAGAAGACATGAAACTTCATTTCTCAAATCTCACTTTGGATTCAAGCCACAACCCAAATCAAACAGTCTCTGATATTGTTTAAATTTAATTAAGTGCTGTTTCTAAATCACTAATGTGGGCACAAACTAATTTTTGGAGTCAGTATGCAATCCTAATAAAAGCCAAGAAAAAGGGAAATAAAAAGAAAAGGCTGAGAACAAAGAAGTTCAAAGAAAATCTGACAGATAAGAATGTATATAAAATGGCTTTGTGGGAGAGGAAAGTTAAGACTGGCCAAGAGAAAGGTAGAACAAAGGAGGATGAAAGTAGTCAATGAACTAAAAAGCTAGAAACTAAGAAAACTCTTGAGATAAAGCTATGAAAATGAGATAAAGAAGAAACAATAAGAAAATTATAAGAGTATGTAGTCTTTTTTAAAAAATGTCTTGCTATGAGCTTAGAATAAAACAACTCACCAGAGGCTTCAAGTGTATTATGTTTTGATGGTACAAAATATTTTTGAATAATTCCCCCAAGTGAGCAATGGGAACTTGAAACAAGTCCATTATTGTTTCATTTTAACTATGTCCATATAAGTAGTCCACATTAAGTGTTACCTACATTCAATCTCCATTTTAAAACGATATTTAAAACATCTTCATGACAAATAACTTTTAAGCACACATTTTTCAACATTATTCAAGCAAATAAATTTAATAAATAATAAATAAATAAGCCAGACCTGCAAAAAGATGTAGAGCTCAACAAAGAAGCAGCTTCCCAGCAAAGAAGTAACAATAAATTCATTGCAACATATGTCATGAATGACATAACACTTGTATGGCTACTACCATGAAACATTACTTCTAATGCACATTCACTGTTCAATTTTCTCTATTTATTAAGATAAGTTTGTCTCAATAAACAAAGAAAGCAAAATAATTTCTCATTTGGTCCCCTGAAAGCTCAACAGAATAGTAAATCTATTTGTGATGGATGTGCACAGTATTCTCTTTTTAGTTTAGAACCTGCCTAAGAAAGAATAAAACAAAAATAACAGCATTTATTTTACAACACATAAACTTTCAATAATGATGAATAAAAACAGTACAACTTAGGCATTAAGCAATCAACAGTCAACTTGTGACTCTCTCCCCAACGCAGCAGTCCAAAATAGTTCTCAGGCTCTAAACATGTGCTTATACCTGCCATTCCTCAATTCCATCCACCTCCTCTCTTCAACTAGCTGTAGCTAATAGCTGAAGAACTGGAATTTATGCCTACTGTTGTATTGATTAATACACTCTAATTCCCCAGAACTTGGAGAAATAGAAATAAGCACCCTCTGAACAACATGAAATAAAAGAAATTATTTTATCACAAGCATGGAATACAAATCCAGGACAAATTCTAGAGTATTTTGTTTCACTCTGAAGACATTCAAAATAGTCATTTTAAGCTCAGAATCTTTGAAGCTCAAACTCTTTTCCTTTTCCCAATCAAACCACAGGAAATCCAAAGGATCAAGGAATAAAATGGTTGGTTGGTTGGTTGGTTGGTTGGTTGGTTGGTTGGTTGGTTGGTTGATGTGACCTCAGGTTGGTATTGACTCTTGGCAACCATGTAGATTGAATTTCTCTCTCTGGTTGATACATCCCAACAGGGATACTCATCACTATAATACTTAAGTTCAATTGACTTGTTACTAGTTATCATCTTCTCTATCTTTTTGCTTTTTCCTCATTATCATTATGAATTATGCCCACTAGTGTTGTATACAGAGATATACTGTTATGAAAGAAGCTTTAAGCAAGGAAAGAAAACATTCATGTCCCTGCTGTTAACTTGGCAAGATTTGGAGGAGTGGATTGCCAATGTCTCCTTTCTAGGCTAAAAGAAAATGACAAGTCTAAAGTCACCCAGCTGGCATTGTATCTAAAGTGGGGTTACAAATCACAGCCCCCAGTTTCTATCCTGATAGTTTAAACACCAAAGCAAACAGATTCTCATCTCCTTTTTATGATGGTTTATTTTAATCAGTCCTTAATAACGTACTTATTTCTTTGTCTTCTATTTTCTAAGCTCTAGAGTTTTCTGGAGTATGACTTCTGCCTGGAAGAGATCTACTTTCATAAATACATACAAATATAATACATATGTGCATTTTATTGGGAGGAGAAAAGTATTTATCAGGCAATCCAAGATTTAAAAAAAAATGACAATTGTGTTGAGAATTTAAAATGTTGCTCTGTTTGCAACTCTTTGAGTAGGCATAAGAAACTGTTGACTTAAATTAGAATTGTCTTACTTTTAGGTGAAAATTGGGCACTCTTGTCCTGGAAAAGAATATACAGCAGGTTTGCCTTCTCTAAATTCATGGCTTGATTAATGCAAGTAAGGAATGTCAAGTAGTCCTATTTGGAAACAATGTGTGGTAGTTATTGATAATCCTGACTCTTCCATACTAAAATTAAAGAACAGATGCCTTTGGAGATTACTAAATTGTCAAAATCAATTTTTTTCTGTAAACTTTTGCTGATGCCCAGAGACATTAAGTTATACCTTGGACTGAAAATGTATATATCAGATGATGAGCATTTGAGGGAAAATTAATACCTTAAAAATGAAACCGCAGATAGTGTATACCATATCTGGCATACTTAAAATGTATTTTCTAGAAGTCAATGGTCAGTTTTGGAGGTTTACTTGGTGAAAAACCTCCTTGTTTTTGATCCAGTTTTCAGAGGACGTGGCTTTAATTTACAGATGAACTTTGCACTGCAACGTCTATATTCCATTTTAGAGAGTAACAAATGGCAAACTTTGCCCACTGGAAACTTTCTTTAAAATATCTCCTTGAGATCTGTGTATTTGATACCTCTTATAATTGGAGGATTTTAGGCTTAACTACTTGGAAGGATGGAATTCCCTTCCTGCTACGTCAGCTATTAAGGAATTCTGATATATAACAGCTTGGCCAAAAGTACCTAATTAGAACATGGAACACATGCCTTAGACCCATGATAAAATTACATTATCCAAGAAGTTGAACTGTAAAGATAATTTGCCAAAAATACAGACTATCCAGTCATAATCTGGCATGCTTAACTGCCTGTTGTACTAGAAGATTTACTGTTTTGTACTAAAGGATTCTCTTACAAATAATTATTTGTAAATACACTGTTAAGTGTTTGAAAGTATAAGTAACAATGGATAAATAATTAGAGTGCTGTCTTTCGGAATGTCAGTGGAAGTCCATTTTGTTATATGCATGCCAACAATCATTAATTAAAATTATGTCAATTAGTAACTCCATTAACATAATTAATTAAATTATTGTGTGGTGCTTATTGGATACATACATGTCTTTTAAAGAAGAAATTGATGGATTCATAGAATCATAAAATCAGAGAGCTGGAGGGACCTTGGAGGTTTTCTGTCCAATCTCCTGCCCAAGCCAGGTACTTGATGGAGAAATGATGCTCAAAAATATAACTTTGTATTGTATGGTGCTTCCTTTTATAGAGTTATTTTTTTCATATTAACTTTATTTTATTTTTTTAATTACTTATTGAATATATGCAAGATACATTGGTTTCTGAATGATATACCAATGTTTGGAAGAGTGTGCAGGACCATCGTCAAGAATATTTCCCCCTTTTTATTTGAAAGAAACTTGAAACACAACAGTCTGAAAAACTTATCTTTTTTTTTTCTTTATTTGGACATGCATTTTATGGCTATGAGTCCTGATTTGGAGAATCACTTAGAAAATAACTTAATAATTTATATGATTAATTTCTATTTAGTGAAGTAAACTGACTTGTATCACATGGCATACATAATGTTGATTTTGATAGTGGATAAGAGCTTTGAGATTTATTTATTTTTTCATCCTTTTCTTTTTTTAAAAAAGAGTCCATTTCTTTCAACCTAGGTGCTTTTCCCCCAATTTAACTTGTTTGGTGTTTTTTTCCAGGCATTTCATTGGTTGCGCTTGTCATTCCTGTTTCCTTTGGGATATTTTTTAAGCATCAATGGCCCAGGATAGCTAAAATTATTCTTAAGGTAAGGCTGAACAATTATGAATACTTATTCAGAGAATACTCAAGATATAATTGGGGGCTGATTGTGATCTGAATGTATTATAAGGGATTTTTTTTCTTACCTTGGCTGCCTTCGTAGATTATTTATGTTGTTTTGTCTGTTGTGGCTGTTTTTTATGTGTTGGGTGCCTAGAGCTGCTGCAGCAAAATGGGTGGCCCTATAAATCTAACAAACATACATTCATACACAAACATACTGGAACAATCACTTTTGCTTCCTTGATCAAATTTGAATGCTAGAGAAATAAACAAAATATGTCAGCTTAATTATTTAAGAGATGTGTCTGTCACTCATTTCCCTTAAGGACTATCAGAGACCATATCAAACCCAAAAGTAGAAACTGTAAATTTATTTACTTCCTTTTTTACCTAGAGACAGTCCAAGTCATTCTGATATATGAGACAGAAAATATCACTATGTTACAGAAAATACAGTCATAATTTTAATAAACTGACCTACAGATCAATTATTTTAATAATATTGCCATACTTGGCCAACCTGAGTTTACCCCATAATAGGATTGGTCCTGATTCCACCATATAGGGTGGAAGATTTCAAGACTACAATTTGTGCTGGTAATATATTAAATATGCATTCTCTCTCTTTCCCTCAGATTGGTTCTATAAGTGGCGGTATTCTCATAGTGATCATAGCTGTAGTTGGAGGAATATTATACCAAAGTTCCTGGACAATTACACCTGAACTTTGGATTATTGGGACTATCTTTCCAGCTGCTGGTTATTCTCTAGGCTTTTTCTTGGCTCGCATAGCTGGCCAATCCTGGCACAGGTAAAAATTTGTTCCACAACTAATACTATAATCCTATCTAACATAAACCATATCATCTATCTTTTTTAAACAATTGAAAATTAATTAACCAGAGAGTTATAGGCTTCCTTTATTCTGTTTACAGTCCCTTGTCATTCTCTATTTCCCTTTTCTATAAAACTGATATTCCCAAACTATAAAATAACCATGTTTTGGCAATCTTTCTGGTTTGAAAAAAAATAACCATCCTTCCTTTACACAAATATCGTACAACTCTACTTGAGTCACAATGTTCAAGCAATTTAAATGAGCTTATACTGAAACTTTTGTTGCATCATAAATTCATAATTTTCAGTAAGAAAGAGATATGGGAGCTAATCTACTTCACTGTATCTACAATTTATCATTAATGCTTGTGTAGTTCAATAAATGCATAAAATTTTCATAATGTAGCCTTAGTCTAGGGAAGGAAGTTCCCTCAGAACATCTCATATCCTTTCCTGTTACCAAGAAAGGAGAATATTTGTAGCTCAAACTTGAAATGAATGGTCCAAGTCTATGAACTTGGCTGTTTTCTTGCATACATTTCATTACCCACAGTAGATAACATCATCAATGCTAATTCCTTGTTGGGACCTGTATTCTTTTGGGGAAAACAATTAGGGCTACATATCGGCAGTGAGTTGGCCTGGAATCTAAAGTAGACTTCATGCAATTATAGACAGGCATGCAGTACATCCGTATACACTCTCTATATCCTGACCCATGAATCACACAGTAGGGCAGAATGTATCATCAGTTCAAGCTCAAGCACAATAAAATAATTATGCTCCAGACCAGACTTTTAGTCAATGAAGTTCAAGGCTAGTAGCTAGTTCAGAGATTTCGTAAGAAAGATATGATCAGATCCTGATAAAAGACAGGATTTTTTTGTCCTTGGGAATGAGCAAGGCTTTGTTTTGTAACAGAAATCAAGCAATTATGCTCTCTGCCAGAAGCTTTGTCCCTGGAAACATCTGACCATCAGCTAAACAGAACTGACTTATCAGAACTAAGTGCAGATATCAAACTACTCAGGAACTGATCATTATTCCCAAACAGATCAAGTTCCTACTAAGGCTCTTTCTCAAGCAATCTGGTTATTATTTCTTTTTCCACCCTTCGTCACCTCTTTTAGATGCCGTACGGTTGCTCTAGAAACAGGAATGCAGAACTCTCAGCTGTGTACAACCATTGTGCAGCTCTCCTTCAGTCAGGAACAACTGGCACTCATGTTTACTTTTCCACTCATCTATTCCATTTTCCAGCTTTCTTTTGCAGCAATAATTCTGGGAGGTAAGCTACCTTGCCTATGACCCATTTGGATCTTTTGTTTTTAAAATCAGGAAATCATTTCAGAGGCTTTAGTATTTAATCATGCAACACAGATGATTCTACTTTCTGTAATTATCTCCCAAACAAAAACAAAAACACACAACTTTTAAGATAATGATCATAACAGACAGCTGTGAAAGTGACTAAATAAATTATCTGGCTTGGTCAATATTAACCACAAAAGTGGACATCAATCTGAAAAAATGTCCTAATTGTTGCCTTGAGGAATGTGGCCAAAATTTCCATTTATCAGACACCAAACCAAACAATGGGATGCAACCTCCCTCAATGTTATGTTGTAAATCAGTGTTTGTCAACCTCAGTAAAATTAAAATGCATGGACTTCAACTCCCAGAACTGCCCAATTAGCATGCTGGCTGGAGACTTCTAGGAGTTGATGTCCACCAGGGGTGGGATTCAAATTTTTTAACAACTGGTTCTGTGGGCGTGGCTTAGGTGGTGGGTGTGGCTTGGTGGTCATGTTATTGGCTGGGCGTGGCCAACTCAATATCACTCACATTGAGGCACTCATCTCCTCGCCTGGCCTCTCATGACTGTGGGGATGCTGCAACAGTTGTAAGTATGAAAAATGGTCATAAGTCACTTTTTTCAGTGCCATTGTAACTTTGAATGGTCACTCCACACAAGCAAAATACCAGAAAAGGAGGGGAAGAAAACTCCAGAGAGGTTCCTGAGAGAGGAAGTCTAGTCCTGCCAAGAATGTAATAAGGGTTAATGGAGAGGCAGTTTCTATAAGCAACACCAGAATGTTTCCTTCCTGCCTTCCTTACAGGATTAGGCCTGTAATTTCTTCTAACAACCAGTTCTCTGAAGTGCTTAGAATGTTGACACCTGCTTCTAGCGAATAGGTGCGAAATGGTAGAATCCCACCCCTGATGTCCACGCCTCTTAAAGGTGTTAAGGTTGAGAAACACTGTTCAAAAAGTGGAGCTCAGAGGCCTTTCTGGAAATACTAATTATACATGAGGATGCTTTGAAGGATGCAAGCTTCTCATTCTTTTCCAATTAAGAGAAACCACAAAATTAAATTTGGTAAGACATATGACCTTGACAAGTATCACAGAATATGTGAGAGAAACACGAGGGCATTTCGAAGTACCACATTCAAGCTAATGATATAATAAAAATCCAAACAATGGAAGTAAAGCATTCAGGAGTATACACAAAATACAGGCAATCACGCTTGTGGCTGTGATGTTATAGTGAAAACTTTGCCTGTTTTTTTATGTGTGTTGTAAATTTAAAACAAATTTTGTTGCACAGTCATAGCTCCCATCTTGACTTTTTTTAATATGAGGACATCCCACCCCAATACCATTTCCAAATAATCCCTTCTCTTTTCTAGAACTCTTATCAGAGATGGAATTCAATCCTCTTTTGCTTTTGGCCACAAAAGCAAAATGTAACTATTTATGTAACTATTGAATATTTTCAAAGTTCCAAAGCAAATGTGACTTTGTCGGTAGTTATTACTTCAGTTCCTAACATGTCAGGCCATTGTCCTTAGTTTACCAGATCTACAAAAGATATTTTGCTGATGGAAAGAGCATTTTGATAGAGAAAAACCAAGGTGAATCGGAGCCAGTGTCAACTTATGCAACAATAAATGGAGGATTTAAGACAGAAGAAGGAAAAGAAGAAAACCACACAACAGTGACGGCAAATGGAAAAGTATAAGAAGTATGGATTTTCTGGAACTGTTGCTTTTAAAAATTCTGCTCCTTAAAGAGAAATATTTTCAAATATTTGGAGTATACTTTTGTACAGAAATCCTTCCCGTTAAATTATTTGTTTACAATTGTGTCCTTTGATCTTTCCTTTCACTTCTCTCTTCTCGGGGAAATAGAAGAAAAGTTATTTTAATTTTCTAAGGGTTTTAATATCTTAGCCAGCAAAACAATGTATATGACAATAAACCATTAAAAAATCTTCTTTAAGTTTGTGATGCATTTTGTGTTGAAGTATATTAATCACAATACAAGTTGCTCAGAAACCAAAGAAGATTATCAAGCAACTATAAATATTTCTTTAAGCTTAAGAAATTGAAAAACATCATTTTATTATTTCGCTGGCCACTGATAGCTTGCAGGTGAACACTTCTAATGATGTCTTACTAAAATGCAAGAAATAATAAAGTCAGCACTCATTACTGCAAGAATGGAAGACCCAGAAGCATATGGTTGAATGGCACTTCCTAGCCGAAGCATGGAAAAGAACAATTTTCCTAACACTAGATGCTATGACTGAATGTAATGTTATTCTCTCTGTATTCTACTGCAAACCCCTCTCTGGACAACATTGCTTAAATGCAGGATTCTAAGCTCTTGGTAGACTTTTCTCCATGGCAAATTGAAAAGAAATGACAATGGCAAAGGCAGAACAAAATACATATTGCCAGTGCATTCTAGACCTTAAAAATAAATGTTGCATCATAGGCTCATATGTGGGAGCTCTATTTATCAACACTCTTAGATAAGTATTCAACACTGAGAAGAATTTGTCCTCTTAAATTGTACTGCTTAGATGTCTCAGAGTAGCCTAATGTATTTAATGCCTTTTGATAATAACATGTTTTTGCTAGATGTAAGACAGAAACCTCCAAAGCTAATTTAATGCTGGGATAAATAGATTTTGGCATTTTTTTTATAATCACACCCACAAAGGCAAAATTAGAGTTAGGATCTAGGTTGCATATCCATGACTGGATGTAGACAATCACTTTATCAACATTAAAGAAGATGTGATGACACAATTGTTGTTGATGTGTTTCTTATACTTCTTTGATTCACAAGAAATTCCATTAAGAAAAAAGCTTGGCACACATGCCTTTTTTAATAAAAGAAAAGAAAGTTAACCAAGGTTTTTTTTATTTATTTTGTCAATTGCTTACAAGATAATAGGTATTAGTAAAAACATAGTTGTGAATACATGGATACATATAAGAAAAATAAAAGAAATGATAGGACAGGGACGGTAGGCACGTTGGTGCGCTTATGCACGCCCCCTACAGACCTCTTAGGAAAGGGGTGAGGTCAATAGTAGACAGTCTAACGTTACAGTTTTTGGGGTTTGGGGAAGAAACTACAGTCGGGTAGAGTATTCCAGACATTGACCACTCTGTTGCTGAAGTCATATTTCCTGCAATCAAGTTTGGTGCGATTAACCTTGAGTTTGTATCTATTGTTTGCTCTTGTGTTGTTATGGTTGAAGCTGAAGAATTCATTGACAGGTAAGTCAGGAATATAAAAGACATGAGTCAGAATATCATTTCAATGTAATCTATGCCAGGCTTAAAGAGCTTATCACCAATAGCTCCATCTCAAAAGTTCGCTATGCGTTCTAGTTCAGGCCTCTGACTAGACTGAAATCCCTCCTATGGCAGTTTGCTGGGCAAGTCAATTGGTTGGGATTGAAAAATGGAGAAAACAACTTGCCCCTCTTATTTTCAACCCTTCCATTGTCGACTATTCCTTTGAGCCGCACCTACCAGCACTTGCATTCTCATGGAGATTTTTATTATCATTATGGTGGGTTGCCTAGTCAGCTAGATATTTAGACTTGATCTGGCTACTCTTTTACCTATTTATGGAGTCCTTCCCAACCACCTGGGATAGGCAGATGTTGTTTGATGGTATTAAAGGTATCATTGTAGGATGTAGGCTGTTCCAAGTAAAGTTACCTTTTGCAATTGAGTGGAGGTGATTTGGTCAATACTGATGGTGTTCAAGTAGTGTTCCAGTTGTTTTGGGATGGTATTCAAGGCATCTATCACTACTGATACTATCTTTACTTTCACTGACCATGGTTATTGTTCTTCTATTTGCAGGTGATATTCTCCAGTTCTTTGCTTCTATTCTGCTAGATATTATAACGTCTACTATGAAAACTTTTTTGTTTTTCTTATTAATAATTGTTAAGTCTGGGATGGCATATATTTATCTGAATTATTATTATTTTGGTGCTTTCAAGTTAGTATTGGTTCCTGGCAGCTGTCTGCAAAGTCCCTGCAGTTTTCTTGACAAGATTCACAAGTAGTTTGCCATTGCCTGCTTCCTAGGGCTGAGAGAGAGTGACTGATCCAAGGTCACCCAGTTGGCTTTATACGGGACTAGAATTCACAGCCTTCCTGGTACCCCAGTTTTTAGACACACCTTACCCATACACCAAACTGACTCTCAAATAAGGTGATTCTAAAAGCAAATCCTAATAGAAAAAAAAAACCACTGGTTTACAGAGAGTGGCAGCAGGTGTCTGGAGTTTTGGAGAAAGGTTGTATCTATGCAAAATGTTCTCCTTCCCTAAAGGGTATAATCAAATGTGTTTCTACTAGCATTGACAGAGAAGGCCTAAAAGTCAATGTGGCAGAATCAGCTTAATTTATTTTGAAGTAACTGCAATGATACTTATTCATATATTCAAATATATATTTATATTAGGCTATGGGGCAGGGTGCAGCTGCTCCATTCCATTTTTGTTCTACTTATCTACTGTTATACTACCAGGCATTTCACTAGGGAGGGCTTTTTGTTTGTTTTGTATTTTGCTTTGAAATGTCAATCTCCTGTGTCAAAAAAAAATATCCAAAAACAACTAGCAGGGAAAACAAACCAGTGTCAGGACAGATTTTACATGAGATTAACCAGGCTTCTTTCTACTACTCTTTCTCTTCTTATATGCCCCATCTTGAGATTTGAAATCTGTGAAGACCTCTATCTCCCTCCCTCCCTCTCCCTCTCCCTCTGCCTCCCCCTCTCTCTCTCCCAAAAAGAACTACTCTGCATAAGCAGGTATCCAGTCTTTTTGCAAGTCAAACCAAAATAGACTAAATTAGTAGCCCCCACCAAAGGACAAGAGAATGGCATTGGAAAGGAAGTGGGGAGGGGAGGGAAGGGGAGGGAAGGGAAGATTGTCAGTCAGGCTGAACCTATCAGGCAAATTAATAGAGGTCCTCCTTACTTCACTCACAACTTCCCACTGAACTATCAGCACAACCCATTGTGGTTTTTTACCAGGGTGTATTAATTTCTTGACTTCATTCATTTAGACAGCATTAATCTTCTGAGAAATTAATATTCCTGTATCAGAAATAAAAGGCTACACAAACCAGCTATCCAGAGTCTCTCTGAAATCAAACCAGAATCAATTACAATTGCAGAAACTTAAACATGAAAAGATGTGCCTACAATAAACTTAAGCAACTCGTAAGAGCTGGGGAAGTTTCTGCCTGTGTGACCACCACCTTTGGTCTACCAGAAGAAGAGGGAATAGCAGCAGAAGTACAATCACCTTCAGAATGATTCTGCAGTGAACTGGAGATGAGGCAGACATGAAACCATCAAGCATATATTCCTTAAAAGTGCTTCTGCAATCGAGGTCTAGTAACCCTGAGTAAGATTTTGGTCAATATAATCTAACCAATAGCCTGCATGGGCAAAGATCTGGCTTGATTTTGATAAAGGCCAAATGTGTTTATTTGGGTCTTTTGGTGATTAATTCAGCTTATTTCTAACTTGGTATACTGTTATATAAGATTACAATTTAAAGTTTCTTTAAATCTAAGAATTTCTAGCTTTCTTCACTGTCTTTTGTCTCTGTGAAAACTAGTTTAAGGTATGAAAATTTGCATACTAATTTGCAAGCTTTTAATATAGGGTTTTTTAAGTAATATATAGTCCAATTTTATATGTGTGTATAAATAAATGCATGAAAAGGTGAATAGATCTGTGAATCAAAACAGCTTCAAGATGAAGAAGCCTTGACTAGGGATATAAAATAAATTAACCAAATTCGGTGGTAAATATAGCAAAATGGATTTGGCTTGGTCAGGCAGCAGTGAATTGTGGCTGAGTATCCATCATTGTCCATTGAAATATTCTCACAAAGAAGTGCACATTTGGCAAAGATACATTCAAAAAGAAATGTATGCTTCACTCTCCTGTATATAAAAATGTGTGTTAGAGATAAAAATTCTGTAGTATAAGGCACATTGCATGCAAAGAGATACATGAAGAAAAAAAGGGCCAATGGCAATACAAATCTCCCAGCACTGAGGAAAGACACAGTGCAAATTTTCCAATGAATTGAAATAGATCAGCTCATACCACCACCAGTCAAAAAGACTTTGTATAGCTAGTCCATTTTTCCTTCTTTAACTGATTTTCTATGTACGAAAAATGAAGAAGCAGTTTAAAATACAAAATATTAGACAGAGATGGGAAAAAGAAACATGAAAAGGTCTTCAGATTCATGCGTGCATAAGCGCACCAACGTGCCTACCGTCCCTGTCCTATTGTTTCTCTTATTCTTTTATTTTTCTTATATGTACCCATTTCATGTATTCACAACTATGTATACATTTATACTTATTATCTTGTAAACAATTGGCAAATCAAATAAATAAAATAAATAAATAAATAAATTTCACTATGCCATATTTTCTTCAATTGTACTTTGCTGAATTAAGACACAACAACAGTTGGGTTTATGTAACATGTACTTCCAATCCAAAGAGGCTGTATTATAGCATAATGGAATGAAATCCTCCTAAATATCAAGGTTTTGTCAGGAAATTCTTGGAATAGATCAAGGTTGTTGCATGAGCAAAGCTGGAACAGGAAGACTTCCCAAGGTGCAGGTGCAACTTAAGGGTTAAATGTAATAGCACTTCTTTATTTGGT